AGATGAAGGAAGTCGCCTCTTATTAAACTTTTTTATAATTTTGTTGGCCAGTGTTATTATTTAGCAATATGCAATTTAAAAATTTATTTCTTATATCTTTACAGTACGGTTTATATGGTTGCTTTTTGGGTTGTTTCATTTACATATTCCTTGGCTCAAGGTAAGTGAACAAAACTCATAATATTTTAAACAAGTATCAACACTAAATATATTCATTTTATTTACAGCAAAGATGTTCCCGTTGGACCCACCGCCATTTCGGCTTTACTTACCTTTCAGACAGCGCAGGGTGTGTGGCAAAAAGCTGTTTTACTTACCTTCTTAACGGGTCTCATAGAAATTGGCATGGGTGTATTTCGATTGGGATTCCTTATAGATTTTGTCTCCGGTCCGGTTAGTGCTGGTTTCACTAGTGCCGGTTCTCTAATCATATTCACCTCACAATTTAAGGATCTCTTTGGTGTCAACACCAAGGGCGATACATTTGTGGATATGTGGATTTCGATTATAAATGATATACATAATATCAGCTGGAATGATGCTGCTTTGGGTGTAGCTTGTATTGTAGTCCTCCTGAGTATGCGTGCCATGGCCAGTATGAGTTTTGGTCCCAAAGATGGTCATAAGACATGCTGTCAGAAATTTTGGTCGGGTCTATTTTGGGTTGTTGGCACCTCACGTAATGCTGTTTTGGTTGTGGTTACCGCTGGTATAGGTTATTATTTGATTAGTTCGGATATTGATGTATTCCGTATGGTGGGTTATGTACCTTCTGGTATGCCAGAGTTTAGTTTGCCACCCTTTAGCATGACAACTGTTGTGAATACTACAACGGGAGAAGTTATTGAAGTGCATGAAAGTTTTGCCCAAATGGTTAGTAGTTTGGGTTCAGGTCTTATAGTGGTGCCTTTAATTGCTCTCTTGGAAAATATGGCGGTGGTGCAGGCTTTTGGTAAGTAGATGGTTAATACTTTTATATTTGTAGGAAATTTTATAACTTTTTATTTTTATTATAGCAAATGGCAAACCTTGTGATGCTACCCAAGAACTTATTGCTGTGGGTGTGTGCAATGTTGCTAATTCATTTGCTCAGGGTTTCCGTGGTAATGGTGGCATTGCCCGTGGTGCTGTTTTAAATTCCAGCGGTGTACGCACTCAACTTTCCAATGTCTATACCGGTCTTATTGTTATAATTGCTTTATTGTATGCTACGCCCGCCTTTTATTATATTCCTAAAGCTGCCTTGGCTGCTATTATTATGGCTGCTGTTATATTCATGATTCAATATCGTGTCGTTAAACCCATGTGGAGAAGCAAAAGTAAGTAAAACTTTTTAAATAACTGTTTGCATACAAAAAACTATAGAAATGTGCTATTATTATCTTCTTTACAGAATCTGATTTGATTCCCGGTTTGGCTACCTTTATAGCCTGTTTGGTATTACCCTTGCAATTGGGTATTTTAGTAGGAATTGGCATTAATATTGTCTTTATTCTTTATCATGCCGCTCGTCCTAAATTGCGTGTGGAAACTTTATGTGTAAGTTTTACAAATTAAGTTTATTAAAGATCGATTAAATCATGTTTTATCTTTTATCTCTCTAGACTTCCAATGGCCATAAATACCTAATGTTAACCCCTGATCGTTGTTTGATCTTCCCCTCTGTGGAATTTGTACGTAATGTTATTACCAAACAGGGACGCAAATCTACCTTGCCCGTAGTCATCGATTGTACTCATATTTATGGTGCTGATTACACTGCCGCCAAGGTGGTCTCCACTATGATTGATGATTTTGAAACACGACAACAGAAACTTTACTTTTACAACTTACAACCCAGAGTTGCTGAGGTATTTGAGGGTATTAACAATAATCTAGTAGTAATTTACGATATGACCGTATTAGAAATGAGATTATCGGGTAAAGAGGATGAAACTTCTAAATTATAGAAAACACAGGTAATTAGTTAGTTGCTTTACAAACAATGTGAATTTCTTAAGATATTCTAGTGCCACATTAAGAAAAAGAGTATTATTTAATAAAAAAAAATCTTAATTCCTATTGTAGTTAGTAATGTAGTATTTAGTCAAGTAGAAATTTTAATGTTTTTGTTTAAATAATTACTTCTATGTTGAATTTTTGTAATATCTATTAATTGTATTTTTGCTTTTTCGATTTGTATATACATTTAGTTTGTATTGTAAGTAGTTTGTAAATGATTGTATTATTTAGTTTTAATTTTAATGTAGTTATAGTATAAAGAAACCTTAACGAAATTACAAAAAAATTGAAGTATTACATTTTTGTATAGTTTTATATACATTCGCATTAATTGATTGATTTTAATCATTGTTTTTTGTTTCAACAAATTCAATGTTTTACTTTTAAGTTTTTTAATAAAGTAGACAAAAATTAAAGAATTTTTTTATTTGCGTGTTTATATATAAAATTTTTACATATGAAATTAACCATAATATTAATAAAAACGTGTAAAAGGTGTAACTACGAATGCACAGTGACACGGAGTTAAATTTTTTCTAAAAACAAATAAAAAAGTACAGTTGGTCTAGGCCGATCCTATCATCAGCAATAATAAAGCATTTATGTTGAATTTTACCATGGTTCCGATATACATATTTAAGCAATTTATTGATGAAAACCAAAATTTCTGAAAGAAGGCTTTATATGGTGGCTAGAGGCAAATATTTATTTATTGGACATTCAAGTCATTTCCTGAAGAGGGGCTTTGTATGAGGGAGACCGATAATGAAGTCCGATAATTACGAAATTTATCATATGACCAGTAGACCAATTGTCTTTTTATTAAAGTGTTTCTAGTACATATAAGGGATGAAAATTGTACCTGTTTTTGGTACTTTTTTAAAAAGCAGTTTTTCCTATTTATTGACATGTGATTACTTTATGATGAGCTCGCACTACGATATTGCAACTTTTCAGAATAACATTTTTATTACTTCAATAGGGAGAAAACATAAAATTAAGCATGTGAAGCCCAGAGTTAATGAGAATCTGTAAAAGGGATTTTTTGTACTTTTTAGTTCCTCAAAGGCGATTTTTTGGTACATTTTCTTCGTTTCGTTCTTCAAAAGTTCTTCTGAGTTTTCTATAATATTGAAAGTTAAAACATGAAATTAAACATGTAACGTTCTTAGTTAATAAAAATCTGTAGAAAGAGGGGTTTTATAGTTTTTCATTCTTTAACTGGTACTTTTTGAGTTTTTTGTAATATTAAAACTTGAAATGATTATCCGGAGTAAATGATAATCTATAAAAGGGGTCTGGTACTTCTTGAATACTTTTTGAAATAGAAAGATAAACACTCAGGGACTTGAGTAAATGGAAATCTGTAGTAAGGTATTTTTTTTTTTCGATTTTCAAATGCTATTTTTGAGGTTTCTATTATATTGAACGTGTAAACATAAAATTTAACAATCAGGGTCCTGAGAAAATTACAATTTATAAAGGGGTATTTTCTGATACTTTTTGAATTTTCTATAACATTGAACTTAGGAATATAAAATTAAATTTAAGAAGTTATTTTTCGAACTTCAACTGGTACTTTTTGAGTTTTCTAAATTATTGAATATATAATTAAACATTCAGTGTGAGGACACGTGTCCGGATAGAACTTTCTGGTGCTTTTTTATTCAATAACTAATACTTTTTTAATATTTAATAATATTGAATCTAAAAACATAAATTTAGACACGCACCATCCTGATTGTATAGCAATCTGTATAAGAGGAATTTCTGGTACTTTTCGCTCTTCAATTAGTGTCTAGAATCAAATACTTTTCTGTTATTCATTTTTATACCCTACACTACTAGAGTGTGGAGGTTATTATACGTTTGTGCTAATGTTTGTAACACCCTAAAATATTGGTCCTACACCCACCTTAAAATATACCAATCTGTCTTTCCGTCCGTTTGTGTGTCCGAAAAAAACTTGAGCTCACGCTACAGGTCGCAATTTTTAAGATAATTTGATGAAATTTGACGCATGCTCTTCCGTTGACCCAAGCAAGAAGCCTATTGAAAATGGTTGAATTTTTATACCCTTCACCTTCGTGAGAAGGGTATTCTGGATCCTTATAGAAAATGAAATATATTGAAATTTTATAAAATTAATCATTTCTTAAACACACTATGGTGACGGGTATATAAGATTCCTAGCCCACATGCAATCGTACCCCCCGAATATGGGTTTTGAGCTTATTATTATGTTAAATGTTGTAGAATCTCAACAAATATCGACAAATCTTAGTTTTATATAAGTCTAAATGATACTGCCAATTTTCGTAATGATCGGGCCTCATTTGACCTTTGCCCCCATACAAAGTTCCCTTCAGAAAATTACTTGAAGGTTAAAATTCACTTTTAAACACTGGTGATACATAAAATTCTGCATAAATAATTTTAATGTTATCGTAAATCGCTCTACCTACCAAAATTTATACAGATAGGATCATATTTAACTTGCCCCCATAAAACCCATCTTTCAGAAAATTACTTTTTTGGCAACAAATTGTTTAAATATTTCGGAATTAAGGTAAAATCTTTATTATTAGATAATTAATCTCCATTTTAAACATACTCTGTGGCGTATTATATGGTCGGCCATGCCCGATTATATATTCTAACTTGTTTGTAATATTAAATGTAGAAACATATATTTTTTAATATTGGACCTAGAAACATAAAATTTAACGTCCAGTGCTACGAAGGATGTAGCGAACAACTAACTAAATCTATTCATTCAATGTTCAATTCATGTTTTACCCGATTAATCGATTATTATTAATAATTTGTCGAATAAACCAATTGCAAAACAAAGCTCCTCTACGTAAAAAACTTTCGGTTGATACAGCTATCGTTGGGTTGACAATTTTTGGCCGAGTATGACTCGGGTCGTTCCAGAGCGAAGATCCAATTGTCGTGGAAATAAGTAACGTGGGAACAAGTATTTTTTTTGTTAAATATATTGTTTTAAATATTTCATTTATTTTATTCTTACAAACTAATTTTCAATTAATTTAATTATTTATATTAAATTTTGAACAGTGTAAACTTTTTAAAGCTTTAAAACACAGCTTTTTTCTCTTAACTTATTTCTATAGCATAATTTACGGCATGAAATTATAATTCCGTTATTTCTATATTACTACTATTATTAACATTGGTACTTCCAGTTTTTAGACTGTTATCATCTAATAATTTTTCTATACAGTCTAATGAATAACATAAAATAAATTTCGAATGTAATGTTGCAAAAACCTTGGCTACATTTGGACGTAAATTGAAAAATATTAATTTTTGATTTCTAGAATTAAAATCATTTATAATAGATTCGATAACTTTTGCCGTTGTAAAATCACTGGCATATATATAAGTGCAATCAAAGACAACGGGAAGTGAATACTTAAGACCTGATTTTAAAACCTTATTGCGTACAAACTCCATGGAGGGAAAGATCAAACAGCGGTCGGGTGTAAGTCTTAGAAATTGTTTGCCGCTGGGAGTCTGAAAGTAAGTTTATTAGATAAATATTGTTAATTATTTAAATTGACTTACCTTTACTTGATCTACCGATATTTTAGGTCTAGCTGAATGATATAGAATATATAAAACATTAATACCAATGGCAATAGCTATGCCTACACTTAGGGGCAATATCAAACAGGCAACAAATGCCAATAAACCCACATAAACATCCGATCCTGAAATAGGTAAATTTTATTAGAAAACCTTTTATATTATTTCGATTTTTTTACTTACTTTTACTATGCCACATAGGTACTATAACTTGATATTGCAATTGAAATAGTACAGCTGCTATAATTATAGCTGCCAGTGTGGCCTTGGGTATATAGTAAAAATATTCTGCCAAAAATAACATGGCCAATATTACTATAACACTGATGTAAACATTTACGAATTGTGTCCTGCCTCCACTTGCTGTATTCACCGAACCTCTGGCTAAACCACCATTAATACGATAACCACGGAAAAATGAATTGGATATATTAGCTAAACCTAAGGCGATTAACTCCTGATTTGTGTCAACGGGTTTTCCATTCGCTAAAATAAAATTTAACAGGTATGTACTTAGAATTTCATAAGAAAGTTTTGTAAACTATTTTCGAATAGCGAAAAGTATCGGATTACATATTTTTTAGTTTTATATAAAGTGTTCCAATTAGGGATGCCAAACGGGAAATCTCGATTTCCGGATTTTTAAGTGAAATTTTCGGAGATTTAATATTTTTTTCCACTAAACTTTACACTATGTATGTAGTTAAAAAATTTATTTATAAGAAACCAAATTGGGCAAGACCGACCATATGACACCCTACACTAATTATGAGTAATTAATTATTTTTTGCCTTAATTTATATTTATTTAAGTAATTTAACCAATTTTCTGAAAGAGGCTATATGTGGAAGCTAATGTCAAATATGGACCGATACTATAAGGAGACAGAGTTTATAATATAAATTTCGATTTCGGTAAAACATCGCTTAAGAAATCCGCGAAATTGGGATTCCGCGATTTATATAAAAATCCCAAATACCGAGATGTCTAAAAATCTAATTCGATTGGCATTTCTATACTCAATATCGTGTTAATGTAACAAACCTTATCTTAACCTCCAATCTAAGTTATTTTTAATGCAAATTAAACTGTAATCTTTGTATACACCAGTAAACGAAATACGTTTATGGTTTTTTAAATGATTATTGCATGTCAAAAACAATTAATTTGTTATTAAAGATTTAATATTTTTTTAAAAACAAGTCAGAATGTATAGTCGGTCATGATCATAGATTCACCCTGCATGGACTATTTATGTATGACGATTTTCCTACTTATTATAAACATATTTTTTCAATAAAGATATCAGTACGAAAACTACTACTGTTAGAGTGGTTTTCAGAAGGTACTCTATATGTGGTATTGGTTGAATTATGTGCAGAATTCTACAAAATTTGATTAAGTAATTTATTTCTTATACGAAAGTAATTTTTAGGCGATTGACTGACGACAAAAATTTCTGAATGCAAAAATTTTTATCTTTTAAAAAAAATAGTTTTACAATCTATTATTTTGGATAATTTTCGGACTGGCCGACAAGAATCCCAACTGGAATCCTAATTTCAGTAATATAATGTGGCTATTCTGTCCATGAGAGAAACGAGGCTATGAAAACCTATAAGTATGTTAGGTTGATAGGAGGATATATTTTACATCAAATCCGAAGAAATACTCCTAGACCACGGGCCTGTTGTGCGCACCTTTTCATGGAAGAAAAATTATTGTTGGTAAAAAAAAAACCTTTGCAATAACTTAATGTATTATCTTTCAATGTTCAGAAACTTAGTTTCCTGGATGTAATTAGGAATTACCTACTTCCAGGAAACCTAAAATTAAGATTGTCCAAAAGATCTGCCATTAGAGGTCTTAATAAATCCTGGTGCTCAACATAAATATTCCAAATTATCAAAGATTAGAAACGTTGAGTAGTGAAACAATGGAGCACATTTTTGGCATTGTTAGGCTTTTTTTCAAAATTAGATCCAAATATTTTGGGACCGATATTATTTCTCTTAACATTTCTGAACATTAGGCGAAAATACCTTCATAGATTACAATATTACGTTTTCTTAGCAACAAGCATTATCCACGAAAAAGAGCCCTCAACTGGCCCTATAGTGGCCTATCTATACTTTTTTCGGATTCGAACCGAATCTAACAAAAATGTCAATACTAAACTCATCGACTGAATTAACGGAATTTATGCTAATGTCAAATGCGAATAATATGAAAAATATTCAGGCCAGAATGGATCTGAAATGGCGACCTACTTATGTTGACGAAATAGGATAGTCACGGCAAATAGTGGAATGGAATACACAGGGAAGTAAACGTACAGACCATCCAAATATTGTTTTCAAGGAACTCAGAGAAATTGAAAGTTTCAATTTGAAGCAATAAGTAACGATTAAGAATTAAGGAAATAAAACAGATCGGCCCATAATTGACCTCTTTAAGAAAAGCAGTGGTTTTAAAATGTAATACCTCATAATAATTTTTTCAAAATTATTTTGAATCGGTTCATAATTGATATAAGATCACATGGAAGATTTAGTGGATCGACCCATAATTGATCTAAGTCCATATACAAATAAATTTATATTTTACTTATTGCTAATGTCGAGCAGGTCCGTCTTTCTTCCTTATTTTAAATGCACTCACTTTTTGTTTTCTGGGACTTTTTTAAAACTTACCAAAATTTTTACACACAGCAATAGTCTCCAAAAGTGATATCAGCGGTATGACAATTAAAGCTGAACCAAAGTCATGTAGTAAATCCCAAAAATCTTCAGTTACTTCCGATTCCATACCATTTGCGGTTACGTTACTTGCAATTGTAAAAGCGGGCACTTCAACTGGTGGAAAACCCGATGGTATATAACCGGTTAATTTAAAATAACTAAAACCCTGGTGTTCTAAATAACCTACTATAGCCGCAGTAACAACCGCTAAAAGAGCATTGCGTGAAACTCCCAAAAACCATACAATTTTATTTAGAACTACATGCAGTTTTTTCATATCTTGATTGTCTTTAGGATTAATTCTTAAATTGCCCACATAACGGAGTAGAACTAGTATGGCAATACTACTAAAACCTAAAATAGTATCGGGAATACGATAATTGTGTATGTCTTTTATCATAGAAATCCAATTTTCCAAAAAAGATTTACCCGTACTTTTCACCACTAGAATATTTTTAATTTGTGAGGTGAAAATAATTAAAGCTACGGCACTAGTAAAGCCGGAACTTACAGGACCCGAAACAAAATCTATAACAAAACCTAAACGAGTTAAACCCATTCCTAATTCGATTAGGCCCGATAAAAGTGTAAACAGCAAGGATTTCTGCCAATTGCCATGGGCAACTTGAAAGGTTAATAGGGAAGCTATAGCCGTTGAACCTAAAATGTTATCTTTGCAAGAACCGAATATGGTGTAAATTATATTGCCCATGAATGAACTGTAAAGAGCAAACTGTAGATGATGTATGACATTTATAACTGTTAATGTTTTTTTTTTTAATTATATTTACTACCTCTGTTGGTAGACCCGCTATGCCGGCAAATGCCAAAGCTAATGGTATGGCTGCCAGAGAATCCGTTATACCCGCTATTATATCTCCTATAAAATCATCTTTATTATAACGCGGTAGCCACTGCACAACCGGTAAATGACGTTGCAGAACATTTCTATTAAACACTTTATCCAAACACGCACGATATTTTGTTTTACTCTCAGTCTCAGCTGTTAAATCTGCCAACGATGATTCATTGGCCTTTAGCGCCAGACGACTACGAGACACCGTTTGATGATCCGTTATCATTATACAATCCATTGAATTTGTTGTTACATCATTTAGCGACATTTTGCAACAGTTTTTGTTTAACGTTCAGCACAGTTTTTTTTCAAATCTACAACATTACTCCAGCGTATTCCAAAACAGACTGAGTAAATTATATCCGGAAAGTGTTTAATTCAACCACAAACAATAAAATACATTTGATATTTATTTGGAAAAAAATAAAAGAGAAATTATTCAATTTACTCAGACTCGTATGGAGTAGTGTTTTGTTTAAAACCGGTTCGTGTTTGAAATTTTTTAAATATGTAAATTATTGTTTTGGTTATTCTTTGAATATTTTTATTATTAGTTTTTCGTAATTTGTTTAAAATCAATCGTTTTTTCTCTATTAGTTTCTATTATGATCGTACGTGTTGTTTTGTTATTAAAACAGTTTCAATATTCGAGCGCGAGAGGTACTTCACACTTGAACGAGAATAGTTAATATTTCTTTGTGTTTTAATCTGAATTAAATATTAACACCTTTAATGGTCTATAATTGATGTATAATTAACAAATTTAAACTTTTTTGATTCATAAAAGCTAAATATTCCTTTAAAAAGTAAAAGTGTTATATTGCGTATATCGAAAAGTGAAATTTTGAAATAAAATCCTATTATTAAAAATTAATATTTGAATTATATATATATTATTAATATTTGCGAAAGTAAAGTGTGAGATTTAAAATTTAGTTTAGTTTCGAATCAATATTTATTTAAACTCTAACCGCCACCATTTCCCACATAAACTACTGAGAAGATCCACAATTTTCTGCTATATCAAGCGTTTACACTATGTCATAAGTAATGTCGGCCCATGATTTCGCATATCCCCTAGAAATACTGTTTAAAGGGACATAAATTAGTTAATTATGTATAAAGCAATCGTGACAAAATGTTTCTCAAATTAGTTTTATGCAACCAAAAATTATATTGTAATGTATAGTGGACCCTACACAGAGGTAAAAAATCGATAGAAAAGTACCGAAATTGATACAATCCGTTGTCAAAAGTGAGCTTACCACCTTTGTTAACATTTAGGCAACGAATGTGTATTATATTTAAATAACACCCAATTATCATTTTGACAACCATCGTTGTCATTTTGACAAGGTATCGTTTTATTTGGTCAAGGCTATGTTGTCATTTCGTTTACACTTTGTGTCATTTCAGATAACACATCGTTTTCGCTCAGAAATGATACCCTACATATAAATAAATGTTATAAAAATATATAATTTCCGTAGTTAGCGGCCATCAGTTGTAGATCGAATCTGCGTGTATGATTTGATAACGTCATGTATTACACAGTGAGACAAAAAAAAAAAAAACGAAAATTTAAATTCCTGGGAAGTGACACTATATTTCTGAAAGGTGGATCAGAGTAGAACAAGAATCTGTTTTTGAAATTTGCCAAACACCTTCAAAATCTTGAGATATGGGTAAAAAACCGGGTTTTCGTGCCTTCAAGCACTTTAACTTAGTCGAATCTAAACCGATTTTAAATTTCTTAACGGATTTAGAAAGATGCAGCTGAGGCTTTTATAATGACATATATGATTTTTTTGATTTGGTGATGTTTTTTTCAAAGTATTTTGTATAGGAACTGTACGATTTATTAATTGATTAGAAACCCATGTTTATTTATGAGTAAACCGCAACTTTGTTTTTAAAAAAACTGTTAGCTATTGACGACATTATTGATTTTTTTCTTAATACAAAAATGTTCAAAAACTGATTTTCCTAAAGATGCTTTATATGGGTGATAGGGTTACAGGTCCGATCAATACAAAAATCGGTATAAATGAGTTTGCAGAAATCCTTAGTGATACTGATGGATCTTTAAACAATACGGACATATTTGATAAACCGGTGAAACCTTTTTTTGGAGGTGTTTGGCAAATTTTCGCCATTAACAAGTTTTATAACAATGAAAATATTTACTACTACAGTTTATGGGGATCGGTCCGTAATTGACTCTTTCTCCCATATAAGAACCCTTGAGAAAATCACTTTAAAACTCATAACGGGCTTAATAACAAGTAATTATCACTACTAATTTTTATCAGGATCGGTCTGTAATTTCTCATACTCCCATATAAGTCCCCTCACAGAAAATGACTTTAACACTTATAACGGGCTTAACAATATCAATATAACGAAATATATACAAGTTTTTTAGCAACGAAAATCTATTTATTTTATTTTAAGAGGATCAGTCCACAATTGACCCATATAAGTTACCCCCCCCCCCATAAAATCACTTTAACGCTTATAACTAGCTTAATAATATCAGTATAGCGACGAAATTCGACAAATACAAGTTTAATAGCAATGTAAATTTCTTTACTAAAGTTTATGAGGATCAGTCCATAATTGACACTTTAACCCATATAAGACCCCTAAGAAAATCACTTTAACACTCATAATGGACTTAATAACACGTAATTCGACATGACGAAATTTGACAAAAACAAGTTTCGAAGGAACAAAGATCACTCCGCCATAATTGACCCATAAAAGGATCTCTTCCGAAAATCACTTTTAACACTTATAACTGGCTTAAATTAGGCAAAACAAGTTTTATAGAAATCAAAATACATATGTCTACCAAATATAAGGTCCCCTTATATGGGTGACAGAATTCAACATAAACAAGTTTAGTAGGGACAAAATTTTTGCCATACCTTGGCTCCTTTTTTTATAATATCGGGCGTGATTTTGAACCGACAGATTTTTATATATCTTTCAAATCGAAGCTTTCTTTTGATAAAAAAAAAGAAAATAAGAAGGGCCCATTGGTGAATATAATGGAGTAATACTAATCAAGAAACAAATTTTTAAAAATTAAAAAATTAAATTTTTTTGGTAACAACGAAGAAATAGCTATCAGAGCTCCTTTAGACAATTTTTGCTAGGACCAATAGGTGAAAAGTTACACTCATTTGAATAAATGTCCAGCTTTGACCCCCTCTAAGTCCGGCAGTTCTTGACCGATAGAGCTTGGTGCAAATTTCATCAACATTTTTTGAGTTGGGTCACTTGATATGAAATTGCCCATATATATGGGGGATTTCAAAACTATCTAATATTTGAAGTAATTTTTTTTTTGGTCTTACATGATTTTTGTAAGGGCAAAAAATATCGAGAAGAATAATAAATATGTAAGTTTAAAGGTGTTAACTTCAAGAATACATTATGCTTATGAGAAAAAATCTATGTTAATAGGAAATAAAAATGTAAATTTTTAAATGATCACGACATTATACCCTACCCCACTATAGTGGGTATTATGTGTTTGTGCTGATATTTGTAACATCCAAAAATATTGGTCCTACACCTTAAAATATATCGGCTTAGAATCCTTTTCTGAGTAGATTTAGATATGTCCCTCTGTCCGTCCCTCCGCCTGTCCGTCCATGTAAAGTCTGAGCGCACTCTACAGGTCGCAATTTTCAATAAAATTTGATGAAATTGTCTCTCTCTTCTTTTGACCCAAGGACGAAGCCTATTGAAAATTTTTAAAATCAATCCATTATTTCGTATATCAGTATAATCAGTCCATATTTTCATACAACCATACAACCTTACCCCCCGAATAACGTTTTTGAGCTCATAAACATGTTAAATGTTCTTGTATCATTTCAAAATTCGGCAAAACTTAGTTTATTTTAACATAATAATAATGTAGGGTATCATATGGTCGGACATGCCCGACTATAAATTGTTAAATTTTTTATAGGTGTGAATGAATCAAGGGTTAATGCACAAAATTTATTATTGAATGAAAATCTATAAATGCGCACTTTCGGGCACTTTTTCATTTTCCATCTGATGTATTTTGATTTTTTTTTTTAATAAAATAACTAGTAGAACTCTTTCTTGTATTTTAAACATTTATTTAACGAAAACTGGGACTTATAAGGATTTATGGTACAACAACTAATCAGACGAATATTGGAATTGATTTATTAGCCAAATTTATTTTGATCTTGCAAGAGTCTAAATAATACTTACCTATTACAGTTAAAACAATTTATTTAACTTATTTATTATGAAAATTTATTAAAAATGAACTTTTGTTTTTGAAAACCTATTTAATATGAATTGATCTAAGAATTATTTGTTTGAAATTTTGTCAATGTTATAGTACTTGCCATACTATTATTATCATTAGCAAGTTGCATTGTCGTTATAGCGGGTGGTGCTACACCAGTGGCTTTTCTCAATTCTTGCATCAAACTATCGACATTATAGCACAAACTCAATTTACAATTAAGGCCCTCAAAAATATGCACAACACTCGGTTTTAAATTAAAGAATATGATTTTCTGATTACGTAGCTTAAAATCTTGAATCATGGAACAAATAACTTTGGCAGCTGTATAGTCGGCACCATAGACATAAGTACAATCGACAACGACAGGTAATGAAGTTTTTGTACCGGATTTGAGGATTAAATTGCGAACAAATTCAACTGAGGGAAAGATTAAGCAACGATCTGGTGTTAGTTTAAGGAACTTAATGCCCTCCGTAGTCTGTGGGGGAAAATATATTAAGAACATTTTGAAGTTAGAAAGAAAAGTAAAAACAAACCTCTATTGTTTCTAGAGACACTTTAGGTCTGGCCGAATGATAAAGTATAAATAACAAATTTATTCCTATGGCGATTAAGATACCAATTTCCAAAGGCAAAACTAGACAGGCTATAAAGGCCACTATACCAGGTATTAAATCAGATCCTAGGGAATTAATTATAATAATTAGTAAAATATTGAAAATATATTTAATATAACTTTTACTTACTTTTACTACGCCACATTGGTTTTATGACATGATATTGCAATTGGAATATAACTGCTGAAATAATAATGGCGCCCAAAACTGTGAGAGGTATAAAATAGAAATATTTTGTTAGGTACATTAAAGCCAACATCACCACCAAACCGATGTACAAATTAGCCAAAGGAGTTCTAACACCACTGGCATTATTAACAGCCGAACGAGCTAAGCCACCATTGCCACGATATCCTTGGAAAAATGAGTTGGCCACATTAGCCACACCAATGGCGAACAGTTCTTGAGTAGCATCAATAGGTTTTCCCTTAGCTTAAATTGAAAAAATTTTGTTTAAAAAGTTGTATATCAAAAGGCTATATTCAAAAAGTGCCAAAGTCTGGTTTTGATGAGAGCAAAAAGATCTTTTCAATTCCTGAAATATTGAACAAAACGGAATTCTTTCCCCATAATAAAAACGTTAATTTTAAGCACGCTTTGGCGAACTTATTTTAAATAGCACTTATATCGAGGTCCAATATTCAAAAGTCGCTATCTTTCAGCTAGCGAAATAAACATTTTTTTTGCTCTCCAGCAAAGATAGAGACTATTAAATATATCCCGCGTTATGTTGAACAAATCAATCTTAACTTACCAAATGCCTTGCAAACTGATATATTTTCCAATAAAGCTATCATAGGTACAATTATCAAACCATAACCCAGATTATTAATCATATCCAAAAAGCTTTCTCCTGCAATAGGCTCAATACCCAAGGTAGCATTGCCTGGACGGGGTTCTATGGAAAATGGTGGTATAGCTGGTGTGGGTAAACCTTCAGGTACATTACCAGTTAAACGGAAATAATGTTTTCCTTGCGACTCCAAGTACATGCTGCCCAAAGCACAGGCTATCACTAAGGTAGCATTGCGCATAACACCCAAAAACCACAAACATTTATTGATCACTTTATGATGCCATTTCTGTTCATCAGCTTCTTTGGGTCCGATTTTCATACGTCCAATTGTTCTTAAAACAATAAGAATTATAACACAACAACTTCCCAAGATGGCATCATTTACACGTATATTTTCTATATCATTTATCATACTAATCCATCGTTGCAGAAATGAACCACCTTCACTTTTCACACCCAATATATTCTTCACTTGTGACGTTGAGACAATTAGTGCAACAGCACTTGTAAAACCAGCACTAACGGGACCAGATACAAAGTCCACTAAAAATCCCAATCGAAATATTGCCATTAATATTTCTAGAATACCGGTGAGAAATGCCAATAAGACAGCTCTTTGCCAAACACCACGTGCAATTTGATATGTTAATAGGGACGCAATGGCAGTAGAACCCACTGTACTATCTTTACAAGTACCGAGTAGGACGTAGACAAAACAACCCATAAAAGAGCCATATAGACCGAACTGAAAATATAGATAAAACAATATTATTTTATATACGTTTTCATGTATGTATGTTGCTATTTTAGGGGAAAAAATGTAAGAAACTCCTTGAAAGCGTCTCAACGATGTGTCAATCAAATTTTTTTTATGGACCACTTATATTCTTTGAACATAAGATGAATAAGGCTGTACCCAAAATGGGTGGAATATTGATTCTCTCATTCCGTTTGTAACATAACGAAATATTGGTCGAAGACCCTCGAAAGTATACAAATATATCCTGGTTATATCTCCATATTTTAAGGAGATATAACCTTGATCGTCTGTTGAAAGCGCGATGAGGTAAAAACGGAAGGTGCTAGTAATACAATTTTCCACATATATATTATCTATATTGGGCAATATCGATTTACGAGTAATTATCGGAAGATCCTGATAAAATTTATTCACCCAGAAATTATGTACATCGAACTATATTTGACCATTCCATATACCAGTATAATGATGATATTTGATATAAACAAGTTTCATAGAAACCAAAATGTCTTCACCAAGGAACAGTTCTTAATAGATCCAAGCTCCATATAACCACCTTACGGAAAATTAATTTATTGTCAGTAACTCATTCATAAAGATCTATTTCCTTAGGATCTCTAAAGCGTGGTCCGAACTGCTAGGTGGTATTAAAAAACTATTGATACAGAACTGATCCTGAGTATATCCACTATAGCTATTATTATATATACAAGTAAGACTATATAGTCGGACATAGCCCACCTACATCAGTGGTTATGTGGATTATTAATAAAGCCATTAAGTTGTTTTTTTTTTTACCTTAATTAGGAAGTATTTTAACAATTTGTTGAAAAAGTGTTATATGGGGGCAGGGATAAATATGGACCTATCCTTATAAAATTTTGAAGAAGGATTTACGTTTACATTAAGATTATTTATACAGAATTTCGTAGTGAGTCTAGTGTTTATAAGTGAATCATTAACCTTCAAGTCATTTATTGAAGGGCACTTTATATGGGGACTAGGATCAACTGAGTCAAGATCGTTACGAAAATCGGCAGTATTATTTAGACTAATATTAAACTAAGATGTGCCGTGACCAAGAGTAAAGCAAGTGCCAAATTTAATCAAAATATCTTTGCGATCTGTAGCATAGCCATACCCGTCACACAGACGAGTACGGCCTAATCAACTCAGAAAGTGATTCTGAGTCGATTGGTATACTTTAAGGTGGGCAGGACCAATATTTTTGGGTATTACAAACATCAGCATAAATGCATAATACCCTCCCCACTATAGTGTAGGGTATAAATAGACAGAAAAATCATAATTATTCATTGTTTAAATGTCATAATTATTGACCTTCAATTCATTAATTGAAAGGGGAATTTGTATGGGGCCTTGAGTCAACTAAGGCAAGATCGTTACGAAAATCTGCAATAATATTTAGACTTATATTGAAGTAAGTTGTGCCGGGACCAAGAGTAAAGCAAGTGCCAAATTTCATCAAATTATCTTAAAATTGCGATCTGTAGCGTGGACACACACGGGACTTAATCAACTTAGAAAGTGATTCTGAGTCGATTGGTATACTTTAAGGTGGGACCAATATTTTTTGGTATTACAAACATCAGCACAAATACATAATACCCTCCCCACTATAGTGTAGGGAAACAGAAATATCATAATTATTCATTGTTTAAATCTATCTATATATATAAAAGAGTAGTGGATGTGTTTTTGGTGATGTAGATCCACTAAGGAGGGATTTTTGGAAATTTGTACATTTAGAGGTAAAAAAGGGGAAAAACGGGTAAAAAAGGGTTTCTTAATTATCTTATTTAATATATACTCTTAAAATAAGCAGATGGGTGTCTGGTACTTTTTTGAAATTCGTACTTTTAAGTGGTGAAAATGTGTAACAAATATGATTTTGGTACCTTTTTTGGCCCTTTATAACTTTTTAACTAATTAACATAATAACATTTTTGTAAATATTTTGAATATATCTCTCAAAATTAGGAGACACCTGTTTCGTACTTTTTTAAAATGCAGTCCTTTTTGGTTATAAAAGGGAGAAAACTGTATTATTGGTACTTTTTTTAGTACATTAAGAAAACTTTTTCGATTTATTGAAGTATTCCTATTAATATTTATTGAAACAAATTTTTTGCTATTTCACTGGAGAAAAAGATACCAAAAAGGGGAAAAACGGAAAATTTAATTTTATTCAAACTCATTGAGCCAATTTTTATAAAATTTGAAAAAGTATTTTATTTACTCACACAAAATAAGTTATTAGTATATTAGTTTGGAATTCGAGTACTAAGGCCTATATAGGACCAAATTCGAGTAAATTGTTTGGTACTTTTTGAAAGCACAATTTTTCTGAAACAAATGAATGCAGATTTGAATCGTTTGAGTTTTATCTGTGATATATAGATTTGAATACGGAACATTTTGTAAACTTAATTCTCAAAAAAAGTATATTTCTAAGCGAAAAGGGGAAAAATTGTACTATTTTTATTAGTACTTTCCACTAAGGTAGAATTTATTCCACTTTTGGTACTTTTTTTCTTCAAATGATACTCTTTGTATGTTCTATAATATGAATACAAAACACATGATTATTAAACATACACTGTCCTTATTGAATAAGATTCTTTAAGATAGAACTTTTTATCTCATAAATTGTACTTTTTTAATTTTCTAAAATATTTAACCTAGGAACATAAATTTTAACATACATGGTCTTGACTGAATAAGTGACTGTAAGTGGGAACTCTTTGGTACTTTTCCATTCTTCAAATGGTAACTTTTGGATTCTCTATAATGGTTAACCGGAACACACGGTCCTTATTAAATGAAAATTTATTGAGAAAGATTTTTGTACTTTTTCGCTTTTCTGATGATACTTTTTGATATTTTTACGATTTTGAACATAGATAGAAATATAAAATGTAAAATTTAGGGTCATTAGTGAATGAGAATCTACTGAAAGGGATTTTTAGTACTTTTTCATTCATCAAATTAAATTTTTGAATTGTATATAATATTGAACATAGAAACATAAAATTTTGATTAAATGATAATCTATAAGAGGTATTTTATAGTACTTTTTTTCAAATAGTACTTTCGAAATTTTCTGTAACGGAAGCTAAACGAATGAAACTAAAAATACAAGCTTTTTACTGAATGCGAATTTATTCACGTAATATTGAACGTAAAAACTGAAACATTAAACAATTTTAAATCAATTTTAATTTTCTATAAAAGTAAACAAAATTTTGTATGTATTTAATTTTTCTTAGGGTAGCGAAGCACCCAGGGTATGCTAGTGTTTTTTATATTTGAGGCTGATGGCAGTTAAGTTCATAGATTCTGAACTTTTGTAACCAGTTTTGATTTTTAAAATAACCACATTTTTTTTCTGTATAGATTTTTTCATTAGGTATAATTTGTTAAATTCGGTGTGTTTTTATAATAAACTAAATAAAAATATAAGTAATTTTATTTGCACTTTATATCATTTTAAATTTCTTTATCATAAATGCATTTTGTTTTTTACATTTCTCAGAAATCATAGCATCATTACAACTTTTTTGCACTAGTTTTTCTATTTGCGCATTTTCCATTATCTTATCCAATCCAATGGTCACAAGATCTTATCATTATTAATATTATTTAGTTTATTTATTTATCTGATTTTGAATTTTAATTTGCGCAGATCTAAACACATTTGTCACATCACTCATAATAGAAATTCGAAGAATTTATATATATGATATACTTAGTATAAGTAAATATACATTGTATGTATATTTTTATTTATGTACGATATAAATATATCAATAAGACCCGCAAAATAAAAAAAATGATCAACCAACCTGTGTGGGAAGACCGGCAACACTTGAATAAGCTAAACCCTGTGGTATTACAGTAAGACCGACCGTAATACCAGCTATCAAATCACCGATAGCATCTGCGGCATTATATTTCGGTAGCCATGTTAAAATGGGCAAACGTTTATAAAGAGTTTTCTTGCGAAAAATATTTTTCACGCAAGACTGGCAATAACTTTCATTATCATGCGTATTCGCATCTAATTGTTCGCGACTGCGTGATTTCGAGGTTTGATGATCGGTTATTAAGATAAATTCGGTGGAACCATAAAATGTTGTATCGACATTTGTATGTAATTCGTTTGTTTTATGAAAATCGGTTTGATTTTCTAATGAAGACATGGTTTTTAAAGTGTTTTTTTATATTTGTATTTTTTTTATTTAGTCCATTTGTATTTTAGATTATTTTTTTAAATGTCTCGCTTAACGTCTTAACTTTATTAACTTTAGTTATAGTCTAATTGAAGTGAGTGAGATGTTTAAGGTTTTTGTTAACATTTGTTCAAATTTCTGAAATGATAACTTAATTTTGTATGGATCAGTTGACTTTTAAATAAGATCAACTGTCAGCTACTGTTTTTACCCCCTTTTTTTGCGTATTTACTTTAGATAACATAATAACTAAATATGTAAACACAATTTATAGAACAGATGCGTCTTATTTCACGGGATTTAAATATTGATGTTTTGATTCGAATGAAAAAAATTATTCTTAAATTATTTAATAAGGCATGATTATAGTTTGTACTTGTTCCAGTTTGGAGTTGAGACGAATATCATTCGAAATTATCACCTTCAAGACTGGTTCTGTGGAAGCGTTATGGAGCCGAATCAATTCTTTAACCACAGATTTTAATTGGATTTTGTCACTCTCGCAACTAGTTCTTGAAAAGCTTTAATAAACATATACCCCTTTGCTAAGAATTGTTATCGAACTAGTTTGTTTCTCAGGGATTTTGGTTCTAAATTGTTAAAATTGAAACTCATTTAGATAACACATTCTTCTTATTTGAATTTTTCAACTGGCTCCAAGAACACACTCATTAGAAGTCCTCTAGAACAACAATAACACAGGCCAACAAATTTTTAACACAGAGACCAAAGTATACATTTCTTGAAGATTGAGCTGAATTCGAATCAGGCCTAAATTTATCCATCACATCAGGTTTTTCAGATATCGCGTCATATAGTTTGAAAAAAAAAAAAACGTTTTTGGCCCTATTTGAGACGCTATAACAACTCTATACCTTTATTTAAAAAATAGTCTATAGTCTAGTTTATAGTCTTGTCTAGTCTATAGTCTAGTCTATAGTCTAGTCTATAGTCTAGTCTATAGTCTAGTCTATAGTCTAGTCTATAGTCTAGTCTATAGTCTAGTCTATAGTCTAGTCTATAGTCTAGTCTATAGTCTAGTCTATAGTCTAGTCTATAGTCTAGTCTATAGTCTAGTCTATAGTCTAGTCTATAGTCTAGTCTATAGTCTAGTCTATAGTCTAGTCTATAGTCTAGTCTATAGTCTAGTCTATAGTCTAGTCTATAGTCTAGTCTATAGTCTAGTCTATAGTCTAGTCTATAGTCTAGTCTTTAGTCTAGTCTATAGTCTAGTCTATAGTCTAGTCTATAGTCTAGTCTATAGTCTAGTCTATAGTCTAGTCTATAGTCTAGTCTATAGTCAAGTCTATAGTCAAGTCTATAGTCTAGTCTATAGTATAGTCTATAGTCCAGTCTATAGTCTAGTCTATAGTCTAGTCTATAGTCTAGTCTATAGTCTAGTCTATAGTCAAGTCTATAGTCTAGTCTATAGTCTAGTCTGTAGTCTAGTCTATAGTCTAGTCTATAGTCTAGTCTATAGTCTAGTCTATAGTCTAGTCTATAGTCTAGTCTATAGTCTATTCTATGGTCTAGTCTATAGTCTAGTCTATAGTCTAGTCTATAGTCTAGTCTATAGTCTTGTCTATAGTCTTGTCTATAGTCTAGTCTATAGTCTAGTCTATAATCAAGTCTATAATCAAGTCTATAGTCTAGTCTATAGTCTAGTCTATAGTCTAGTCTATAGTCTAGTATATAGTCTAGTCTATAGTCTAGTCTATAGTCTAGTCTATAGACTAGTCTATAGTCTAGTCTATAGTCTAGTCTATAGTCTAGCCTATAGTCTAGTCTATAGTCTAGTCTATAGTCTGGTCTATAGTCTAGTCTATAGTCTAGTCTATAGTCTGGTCTATAGTTTGGTCTATAGTCTAGTCTATAGTCTAGTCTATAGTCTGATATATGACCTAAAACTAACAAATACTCTCAGATACGAAGTTTTGCATACATTCTTACATAACCAGGGGGCAAATTCTGGCATTTGAAAGTGATCGAAACTTCAATAGAATTTACAAAAAAGTTTTGAAATTTCGACCGCTTTAGAATACCAGAATTTGGGCCCAGGTATATTGAATTAAAAGTTTATAAAATATATTCAAATAAAAGTTTTTTAATGAGTTTGTAACACAGAAAAATATCGGTCATTGATCCCATAAATTATATACACAATGTAACTTAAGTATGATAAAACTTATGAAAGGTTAAAAGTCAAACGAGTTGTCATATTGCTCTCACTTTTTGACATTTATGATTATTATATAATTTGTGACTTTTATGGCGTCCATAATCGCTTATTTGAGCAAGCCATCTATCGAACTGTTAATAGATTTCATTCCTCATACTCTCCAAATGATGCAATAATACTCTACAAGCTCCATTACATAAAGTAAAATGTATTGTGACAACGGTCAGTGGAGATCGTTGCCGCACCATGAACAATGATTTCTTGCTTGAAAACAACTTTAAGATTAGGAGATTTGATACCTCTCGATAATTTCCCCAAAGTCGCCCAAAATTGGATATCTAGAATGTACTACGTCAACAGTCGCAGTAGCCATATGCCTGTAATCATTTTCAAATGTTAATTTCCTGTTAGTGTATTGATTGTTGTGTTATTTTTAACAATTTCAAGTTCTATCGGTTTTACAAAAACTCTCTATATACTCACGGATCTCATAATGCCCATTAAAGGCACAAAAACGCCCAAAGATGAGAAACATTTTTTTTTTCGAAATATTTGGTATTAGAGAACACTGAAGCCAAAATTAACTCAAATAGGTGAAATTGATAAAAAGTTTTTTAATCATATATGTATGTATAAAGTACCCTAAAAAGTTTCCCTTTTACAATCTACGTTTCTGCCTAGAAATTAGCAGGCGCTACGAAAAAGTGTTTTCAACCAACACTTGACGCCTTTTCATTTCCATATATTTTATTTATTTAATTCATTGTCAGTTTGTTTTGTATCTTATTTTCATTTTATTTAAAGAATAGCTTGTGAACCGATTTGCTCTATGTATCGGTTTAAATTGTACTCAATGAATAAATAAATTCTATGTACAATAAAATAATTGTTAAAAAAACACATAGCTTTTACAAATTATCTTGATAAATTATTTAAAAACTATATAAAATTTATTATATAAAAAACAAAAAAAAATTAATATTAAATAAAGTTCATTAATAACAAAAAAAAAATTACACACATATTTTTATTTATTTATATTTAAACAGAGATTATAATAATTGTGAATATGACACCTTGTTGATTTAAAATATTTATTTAATTTATCTTTTTGTCACAGCACAACCGCCGCCGACGCTGCTGCTGTTGATTATTTAATATTTTCGAACTTTGTCAAGATGCGAAATTTTAATAAAAAGTTGCTAAATTATTTGAAAATCAAACTTTTCCATTTTATATTGGAATATTTTTATAGCAAGTTTTTAGATTAATCTTTTATCTAATCAATCATATGTTTACAAGATTTATTATTAAGTTAATGTATTAAAAATATTTGATATATTTTTAGAAAATGATATGAATGAAAGTAGATATGTATGTATTATGTAGGTTGCTAGTTGTTCAAAATAATGAACATTTGCTTGTCATTAACGTAAATAACAATTACAAAGTGTTAATGAGATAAAATTGGAAATATTTCATACATATCAAAATTTCTTACGCAGTAAATTTATAAGAATTCCTGCAATCAAAAAATTGCGCCATCCAATCCAATCAATGAATTAGATCTATTTTGTCCTTAAACAAATTCTTGCTCACATAACTTTTAAAGGCCGTTGCATCCCTGATGCAACAATTGGCAAACTTTTGCAATTAAAAACGAAAACATATAAGAAGTTGCATCACTGTCAACAATTTTTATTTACAATATTATTTATTGATTATTTCAATTACAAATTTGAATCTTTTAATATTTATTTACAAATCCGGGTTTTGCCATAAACAATACGCAGTTTGGTTTTGTATTTTTTAACACGTTTCTAAAGTTTGAGTCGTGCTGAATCCAAATATGACTTCAGATTTTCTCTATCTGGTATTTGAGATATTGTATCCTGAAATTTTTGGCCCTCTGTGAGACGTTATAACAGCGCCAAAACAACTTTATTTATAAAATGTTATATGCCATCCATTCTGTCAACTTTAAAAGAAAGCCTTAACATCTGACACTTCTTCTTTATTCTTCACCGAAATCTTGAAAAATCAATGTTTTCATTATATCCATGGTATTTGTAAGGTAATACTATAGTGCGGAGGTTATTATAGTTTGAAAATATTGTTTATAACAATCAACGAGTAAGAGTGCTATATTCGGCTGTGCCGAATCTTATATACCCTTCACCATAGTGTATATAATAAATATAAATATTATAAAATTTAAATTTATTTCATTTTCCCGACTATATCATTATTATAGCAATAGCAAAATAAAATGAACAACAACAACGCTAAACGAAATAACCACACAAAAAACAAAATACACAAGGCAGTAATACCAACAGCATCCAAACATACGAAACGATATACACAAAAAAAACAAAAACAAAATACACAATGCAATGAATCCAACAGCCATCCAAACATACGAAACTGAATACACCAAGAAACAAAAACAATATACACAAGGCAATGAAACACACAGCCATCCAAACATATGAAACGGAATACTCAATGAATAAGCAGTGTTGTTGTTGTTGCTTATATCAAAGCATGAAAAAATTTTCTTTTTTTATGAAATTTTCAGAGGTTGTCTCGGATTTTTGCTCATATCACTGGTATTTATGGACCGATTTTGCTGATTTTAAATAGCGATCTTCTCGAAAGCATGTCTAACAGAATTATTGAAGATTCGAATCTCGCCGATATCTGGGGTCCTCTAAAAACTGATTTCAACAAACACACAAACGGACAGACGGACAGACAGACAGACAGACATACAGATAGACAGACAAACGGACAGACGGACATAGCTTAATAAACTCCGCTACCTATAAGGATCCATAAGCCTATAAGGATATAAGCGGACTTTAACCGATGATTGTGTTTTTCAGTTATGGATTTAAGTTCAATTAACTTTGTTAGTATTG